CTATTCTGAACTCTTCTCTTTCTACGCAGCAGCGGGACACAATAGATCCGCTTTTGAAGGAGAAATAGAGGCCATTAGGATAGCACTATGCCAATTATGTTGCCTGGATACGAAATTCACCAAAGCGGTGATACTTTCGGACTCACAGTCAGCAATAGACTCTATTGGAAACAGAGACACCCAAAACAGCTGAGACAAACGAATGTAGAAAACTCTACGAACTGCTGAGAGAGAAAAACAAAACAGTGGTCCTACAATGGATTCCTGGTCACTGTGGCATTAAAGGCAATGAGATTGCTGACACACTTGCTAAGAAGGGGACAACTATTTTGCAATGCATGGACCGGCCGATGTCTTTCCACACAATGAAGGCCTTAATCAGGAGAGAATTCCAGACCTCAAGGTTCAACGAACTCAAAGCTCGAACAAAGGAGAAACAGTGGACAGTGGCACTCTCCGACATACCCGACTGGCCAAGAATCGAAGCCGTTGCTGAGTTTAGACTACGTACCGGACACGATTGCTTGGCAAAACATCTTCACAGATTGGGAGTATACACTCAACCCACATGCCCTCTATGTAACCTACACGAGGAAATGGAGAAGACCCACCTGATTCGGTGTCCAGCCCTAAAGACAAGTACGGAAAGCCAAAGATACTGGGAAGCAAGAAGACTGCCAATGAACTGCTATTAATTAACTGCTATAAATGTACCCCCCTCCCCCCTCTTGGGGGAAGCTGAAGTCAATGATTAAGGGCTAATGATAAATATCACAAAGTCTGCCATTTGAAATAAAAAAATAAATTTTCTGTCTGTCTCTTTTACACCTGTGAATCACTTTTCTGCCCTCCCCCACTCGACTCTTTGTGACTTTGATATTCCTCCCTCTGTGGAGCCCCATGTCAGCTAAAGGGTTAATGATAACTGTCAAAACGCCTGTCATTTGATATAAATAAATCGCCTTCACATACGGCCCCCAGAGACTAAGAAAATGATGCCAAATCGAAAGTCACTTAATTCCATTTCCACTGCATTACTCAACTGGCAATAATAAAAAGCAAGTAAAATTGGCATTCAAAGCTTGCATTCGCACAATCATCGAGTAAAGAAGCAAAATAGAGCTTGCGTCTTTTCAAGAAGGTAAATAAGCCGAGATGTTACAGTTGAATAAGTGAGAAATTAGAAAATATGGGTGTAGAAATTGCAAAATATGCAGAAACGGAGGAAGAATAAACTGTTGACAAGGAATGGAAAATAGTTCCAGCGACAAATAAAATACATTAACAGAAAAAAATTATCTTGATTGCTAAAGGCATACTTGATTCATTGCACTGGTTTACGGAATGGATTACGCTTCAAGGAAATGTACAAGTATCAGTACTGTTAAGATAGGACTGTTAGCACACTAGCAACTTGATACCTCGTTAACAATGACCATTCTGACTGGGCTCTGATTGTATTGACTGAGGAGGGGTAAGAGTACGTGGAGCAGGGGTTTCGGAAAGCGATTGACGGTTGTTGGAACAAGGAATAGGGTTGCGTAAAAGAAATAGGATTTCAGCATCTGCGCGTATACCTTCAACGAAATCGGCGTAGGAAATCCGCTCATCACCGTCTCGATCCATTGCTGCGAAGAGACGCTTAGTTCGCAGCTCAGGAGTAGACTCTTCCACGGGCATTTCGCGGGCTACTACGGACGGTCCAATCATTTTGTAAATTGCCTACGGGTGAGCAAAATAAAATTAAGCTACTTATTGGGTTGTCAGTAGAAAGTTAAATGAATTGAGCACGCAGATGGTTGTAAGTGCTTTTTTATGAATTCTATGAACAGTAAAGCGATAACCCTGAAGACATGGGCTAGGTTTTATGTGAAGGAAAACCTTTTATTATCCAACGAAGGTTAATTTCAGCGGAATGAGATAATCCAAAGACTTGAGGGATAATGAACCAATTTACCAAAGACAAATAAGCTAGCGTTTAAGAAAATTATCCAATCAGTTTGAAGCCTCAAACTAGGAAGTTTGCGTCTTTTTAGTATTTTGCCCCATTAAGTGGTTGGGGGGGGGGGGGTAATTGAAAAATTTGAATAAACCACAAAGCAAGTTCTTTGAAAAGTCCCAAAAACGATTAAATATCCGTTTTTGCAAAAAAATTGTTTTCCACGTCTTAGACAATAATGCAGTCTTTAATTACGGAATACAAGATACCGGTCTGCTTTGAATAAATCACTGTCAACAGTTCATGAGGAATAGAACCATAATTTGCAAGATTGGATTCAATGTTTCCTAGACTTGGTAATAACTGTACGCGTGTCACTGTCTCAACTAAGTCGTTTTAAATTACAGGCCCAGAAAATTAGAAAGAAATAAATTTAGGGCAAATGGGCTTTTAGAAAAAAATCTATTTAAATGATATATCCTCCCCAACAACCGTCAGTGTATAATAGGCTCAAGACGATTATATTATTACGATTTGTTTGAATTTTGAACGATAAATTTTGACCTTCAATTGCTCAAAAATTAGGAGTAAATTTCAAATCCCTAGATCCAGTTAAAGAATAAAAGAATCAACGCACTCAGTCGGGTCGCTATCTTGCGATCAGTAAGTTGACCTTGACTACTTGAGGTGGGATAACTTGAATAAACCGATATTACTACACTCAGAGATTTAAAAATGCAACAACAACAGCATGGAAAGGTTGAAAATATATATATTTTAAATTAGAAATAAAAGGTAAAAAATGACTCGTTGCAATCTTTTAGTGAAGCGAAATGGCACAATTAAGGCCTTTATATCGTATTTTAAAGTATTTACATGAGGTACAAATAATCGTGACGAAAAAGGATATTTGCATTGAAGGAACTTTGGTTAGCAATAATAATGTAAATAATTTATTGACTTTATAAATTTTTTTAAATGTACTGGATGGTGACTAACCAGCCATTTGGGAAGTCCTCATTTATCATTATTATTAGTGGGTTTTGGGTCTTGTGTAGGCTATTTCGGGAGGCGAATAGAGCTATACAACAGAAGTAGTTCAGAAATTAGCAACACAATCAACTTTGAAAGAAAACAACAATAAGGTATAAAAATTAAATAAAAAAAAACCGGAACTGCCAGAAAGTGAGATGTGAAGCGGGCACACAGAGGCATAAGCATTCCCAATGTGGAGGGGAACAATTCGGTGAATATATCCCTTGAATTGACCATTAGCTAATGTGGGAAAAATCAATACTAGATAATTGGTTGGGTGATAACATAAGACAATGGTATATCAAAATTTATTATACAGAGGATGAAAGTGTGTAGAAACAGTAATCATGTTGCCACATATATATATATATATATATATATATATATATATATATTTCAAATGGTAGGCGTTATGGTAGGTATCATTAGCCCTTTAGTTGACTTCAGGCTTCACAGAAAGGAAGATGAACAACAAAGTGGGAAAACGTCGAG